TGCCAGACGCTAGGCTGGAGTGCAATGGCACAATCTCGGCTCACTGCAACCTCCGCCTCCTGGGTTCAAGCAATTCTCCTGCCTCAGCCTCCCGAGTAGCTGGGACTACAGGTGCACGCCACCGCGCCCAGCTAGTTTTTGTATTTTTAGTAGAGACGACGTTTCACCATGTTGGCCAGGATGGTCTCGATCTCTTGACCTCGTGATCCACCCGCCTCGGCCTCCCAAAGTGCTGGGATTACAGGCTTGAGCCACCGGCTAACAGCTCTTTTTAAGACTCAGTTTCTTGGTGGCAATGTCATCCAGCAAAGGTCAGTTTTTTTGCCTCCCTGATGGATCTCTCATTTTACCTGTGGGGTCGGGCCAACCTATCCCATAGGTACGGAAGGTGCAGAGGTTGAGCCCACACCACTTTCAATGGCCCACAAAAAATGTTTCAGTTTTAGTTTCTTTTAAAATCAGGAGAAAAATGAATATAATAATAACAAATATATAGTTGTCGGCCCAGCATAGATTACACTTGTCTTTACACCAATGAAGTCATAAAATATTTTAAATATTTTTTTTAAAATGCAAGAAGAAGCCCAGTAAAACCAAAGTGGCTAAGACCCATGAAAGCTGTAATGACTCCCTAGCATGAAGGTGACACTAGGCTTAAAATCTCACTTTTTCCCGTGTCCCCAGGTGGGCACCAGAGACTGCCCGTGGCCTTGGGCATTTGATGAGAGTGAGCTGTTTCTGGTCTGGAACTATCTCCGAAGAACCTCAGGGAGGGATTGGGGCCTGTCTATGAACCAGACCCCCTCGGCCCGTCCAGAAAGCACTCCCACAACCTTGGTTCTATTTTCTCCCCCATCACCCCAGAGCTGAGTCACTTTCATGACTCTTTGAGTATCTCTGCAGCTTAGCGGTTTCCTAGGGCCGCCACAACAAATGTCACAAACTGGGTGGCTCCCACAACTGAAAGTCATTCTCTCGCAGTTCTGGTGGCTAGAAGTTCAACTCGAGGCGTCAGCAGGTTGAGGGCTGTGAGGAGGCACCTGTCCCATGCCCTCCCCTAGCTTCTGGTGGCTTGTTGGCAGTTGGATATCCCTCAGCTTGGAGATGCATCATCCAGTTCTTTCATCTTCACAGGAAGCATTCTCTCTGTGAGCATGTCTGTGTCCGTTTACCCTCTTTTATAAGGACACAAGTCATATTGAATTAGAGGCCACTCCACTGTGACCTCGTCTTAATCAATTACATCTGTCCTGTTCCCAAATAAGGTCACATTCTGAGGTATGGGGAGATATGATTGCAACATCTGAATCTTTGGGGGTCAGGGAGGTGTGGGGCAGTAACTCCTAACATCAGTTCATGTTGACGCTATGATCTCAGTGTGGGTTTGGAGTGTCAGCCCCTCTGCCTGACATTCCTAAAAGCAGTTCAGCATGAGTGAAGCCACTGCACCTCTCTCAGTTCACTCTTCTCCATCCCAAGGGAGGTGTGCACCCCCACACTTCCAGGAGTGTAATCAGGGATTCTTGTGTTCGGTGCCAGGTAGTGGGTAAGGGGAAAGAGAGGGGAGTCTCCATCACCTTTCATTATAACCTCAACGCCTGCTCAGCAGGAATTGAGTAAACAGTGGACAGAGGAGTTGAGGTGAAACAGAAGGTCACCAGACGTGGGAACAGAGGAGGAGGTAGCCGACAGGTAGGACCAGAACCAGCCGGCTTTATCTGATTGTCTCAATGTCAATTTCACACTACTCTTTTCATGAGCAGGGTGGAGGATTCAACCCAGGCCAGGGTCAGGAGCATAGATGCTGAGTCTGAAGAGCCCGTGTGGGTGTCGGGAAGGAGGGGGTTTGCAGGGCTGGCATGGAGCCCAGGACACATGTGGGAAGCACTGAACAGTTCAGCAAAGCAGCTGTAGGCATTAACCCGTTTACTTAATCAGCAGTGCAAGCCCCCAAGGCTCAAGTCCTCTTTGTACAAAGATCACAATAAACAGGAGTAGGTTCAGTGGGAAGAGAATAGACTTGATAGTTAACCAGACCTGAGTTTAAATTCTAATTCTGAGTCTGCTTGGCCTTAGGCAAATCACTTTATCTTTCTGGTCCCAAGTTCCCACATCTATTAAATATAAAATGAGAAGAAGAATAATAATACCTATCTTATACGGTTGTTGCCAGGGTTAGATGTACTTATATGAAAGAGAGAGTCCTGGCAGGTGGTAGGTGATGAATAAATGGTAGCCAGTATGGTGGCGAGAGCATTTTGTACTAACCAAATAGGATCATTCACACTATGTTCTTGAAGTTGAAACCAAGGCTTAAACTTCCAGGAGTGGTTCTTTAGTTGTGGGCTTAAAATGCACACACCGGGTCTCAAGTATTATCCCTGAGTTAAAATTCTCGTAAAATAAGTGCCATTTTTCTCTCTGTGGTATACAGATAGAAGAGGTCAGGAAGGCACAGGAAAGTTTATTCTTTCCCATTATCAAAGGAGTAGCTGTCCAGTTTTTGTCCTGGCAGTTGGACCTCTGCTCTGCTGTCCTTAAAAGTGAGTAGAGACCAAGCACAGTGGCTTACGCCTGTAATCCCAGCACTTTGGGAGGCTGAGGCGGGCGAATCCCTTGAGGTCAGGAGTTTGAAACCAGCCTCACCCATATGGTGAAACTCCATCTTGACTAAAAACACAAAAATTAGCCAGCCATGATGGTGCATGCCTGTAGGCCTAGCTACTTGGGAGATGATTGTGGCAGGAGAATCGCTTGAACCTGGGTGGTGAAGGTTGCAGTGAGCTGACATCACGCCCCTGCACTCCAGCTTAGCAACAGAGTGAGATTCTGGCTCAAAAAACAAAACAAACAAACAAGAAGTGAGTGGCAAGATAATATAATAATAAACAGTGACATGGTGCTTACCATGTACCAAAGCCTGTTCTTTATGTTTATGGATATTATCTTATTTAATCCTCACTCCATAGGGTGAGGGTGTTGTTACCCTCTTTTTTAAGCCACTTTTTATGTGCAATATCTACCTTTAAAAAGATCTATTAGTAAATAAAGCTGAATTATAAAAACTCAGTTTCACTCCAGCAAACCTCGGACCAAGGCTGACAGCAAATGACTCAGTGAGTAAAATAAAGATAGAACAAAGCAAGGACAATAAGACTTTAAGTGATCATTCTCAGCTCACGTTTACAGATGCTAAAGGCTAAGGTACAAGAACACAAGTGTCAAGGTCTGGTTCCAGACTGTATGCTCATGGCCACTACACCCTGCTGCCTCATATTCCATATGCCTAGTACATTGTAACCCCACTGATGTGGTAGTGGTGGTGGTGGTGGTGTGTGTGTGTGTGTGTGTGTGTGAGAGAGAGAACTGGGGCATCAGGAAGCACCCAGCCCTCACACCTGCCAGCCCAGCCGCTGTGCAGAACACGGCGGTGAGTTGTTTCACTTCAGGTGTCCACTCTGCTTTTTGCAGAACTCGTTGTCCCTTGAAGGATATGAATACAGGAAATGAATAAAGAGTGGCTTCAAAACCGAGACCAGGACAGCTTCCATCCCATGCAGTTCAGATAAATAAGCCCTCACAGTAATCAGCTCTGCGGTGCCAGAGCTCTCTCCCTGGAATATGAAGTGCTCCAGACACTGTAAACACGGCCATGTGACTCACTTCCTGAACTGTGTCGTGGCCATCTGCTCAAATATCTCCCTTCCTCTTCCTGTATTCTAATGATACAGCAACTCCACGGACAATTGTGCAGCCATTAAAAATGGCAGTTTAAATTTTTTTAAAGTGAAAATGCATAACAATGTGGAGAAAATGCCTACAATACACGTTGAGTGAAAGAATTGCACGAAGGATGTGCACGTATGTAGAATGTGCGTGCACAAGACCAAGACCTGGAAGGACATGGAAAAGGAAGCTTGTTTCCAAAACTTGGAGGCTTCTTTTTTGAAGTGTCACATTTACTTTTAAAAATAGAACAAAGTGAGATGCTTCCTTGTACCTCTTCATTGCCCTCAACTACAAACGCAATGCTTATGTACAGACTGTTTTTTTGGAGCTGGATTTCCAAGATTGATAAAAAATAGTTATTAAAATGGCAGATTTTTCTCGATATGGAAGAACTTATAAGAGAAGTAATGTCCTTTTCTTATCCTGTTTGAAATTTTTTAATAGTTGGAGAACTTGTCGGGAAGGAGATGAAGAATGAAGCGGTGATCTTTAAAATGTTATCTCACACCAGTTACAGAGAATAAATGAGCAGCCTCCAATCCTTTTTAGGCAGCCTCCAGTCCTTTCAAAATATGGAATAAATGAAATACAACTTAAGCAATCTTCCTAGGTACACTTTTCAATAAACCTGAAATCTATTCAGTGTTTTTGTAGTTCTTCATTTCCTTCACTCACTAAGTCTTACTTGTCCTTGTTGCTTTGTTCTACGTTTATTGTACTCACTGAGTCATCTGCTGTCAGCTTTGGGCACATGAGGTTTGCTAGAGTGAAAGAACTCTTTGTAATTCAGCTCTGTTTACTAATACATCTTTTTAAAGGTAGATATTGCACATAAAAAGTGGTTTAAAAAAATAGGCCAAGGCTTTTGTGAAGCTGTACTTCATTTGCTCTGTTGGTCTGGGTCAGGAAGTTTCCAACACATCTTTAGTACGATGCATCAAAGGACTTAGAGAAATTAATCAACTACATTTTAGAATGAAGCCTTCATTCCATAGGATGTGTGGGCCATTAACAAGAGCAAATTTTTCCCAATGCAAAATGATATAGAAAGAAAAATGTAAATGAAATGACTTGGAGTAAGTTCAGTATAAGGCTAATTTTCCTTAAGGGTAAGCTCATGGTTTAGGTTAGAACTCATCAAGTTAATTGTCTTCTGATTCTTGAAAGTGAAATCCAGACATCTTCTTGATGATTCCTGTTACCAAAGTCCCTGGAACAAGTGCTGTTTCCTGAGCCTCCTTAAAGACTGATACTAAGGAGGTCCCTCGGGCCCCCAGTGCTAATAATATGTGAAACTGGAATGAAAAAGCAAGGCAGTAAATGAACTTGCTGAGAAGGACCACAATGAACCATTGTTCCTAAATATAAAAATGAATTCCAGAAGATTATGGCCGAGAAGTAGGTCCCAGTGGAAAAGAAGAATTGGAGTTTGGGAATGTGATGAAATTTCCGTTGGCGTAGCAGAGAGTAGATCTTGTCACTAGCTGGCATGTGCTGCTGCCAAGGTGTGGCCCTTGGGAGAGTACGGCTAACGGCCTCCGTGTCACCCGGAGGTCTGTTACAAATGCAGATAGACCATGAAAGGATTTTTGTCTGTTTGTTCACTTCCATTGCCCTAATGCCTTTAACAATGTCTGGTGCACATAATTGTGGATGAATGAATTTCTTGAGACCAATCCAAAATCATTGAACTAAAATCTCTGGAGGCAGGTCCCAAGAATCTTTATTTTAACAGGATCCCCAGTTGGTCCTCAGGCATGGTTTAGTGTGAGAACCATTGCCCTGCTGTACCTGGATACTGGCCAGTGTACTGCAGTGTTGATGGCCCTGAATGCACCACAAACTCCAGAAACCTAAAAATGAAGGAATAGCCACAGCTTGGTTTCTACTACGATGATGATGATGATGATTCTCTGGTATTGCATAAAACGTTGACACCCAATATATCCAGGGGTTAGGTTAGGCAGTTACACTTATTCCCATTTCACAGGCAGAAAAACTTGGACATATGCAAGGTCAGATAATTAACAAAATAAGAATCAAAACCTACCCCACTAGATAAAGTTTAGGAGATGATGTGCTAAGTCTGAACTGGACAACATGATGTAATTAGCAAAGAGTGAAGGACAGCACTCCACTTGGGTCTATTACTGTAATGGTCAAGGTCATTTTAAAGTGCCAGGGCCACTCTCCAGATAAATGATAAGAAGAGGCCACAAAGAACCCGGAGAGATGGCATCTTTCTACCACCTCTGCTACTCTGCCAGTGATCTGAGAACAAAAGACCCTCTCTGGCAAAAAGTAGCAAGTGATGGAGTCAGAAGAGGGTACCAGGGAAGGGAAAGTGAGCCAATCCCTGACCCTCAGCAGGAACAATTAACTTGTTTAGTTCTAACTAACCATTGGTTTTCCTTGAATGAAAGTTAGCATTATATTGAACTTACTCTGAATCATTTCCTTTACATTTTCCTTTCTATATCATTTTGAATTGGGAAAAGTTAGCTTTTGTTAATTCTCACTCCTTGGGCAAGAGGCACTGCATGTGTTCCCAGCATTATCATTCCCAACACTTCACATAGTATTAGATCACTTTCCTATAATCACTTCATTCTCTTTTATGAGACTTGAGGTTTAATTGGAGGTTCCAATAAGAGACTTTATGTGTTTAATGGATTTTGGTATAATGATCAGAGTCTGAAATGCTAGTCAGAAGGCCAGTTGACTTCTAATGAGGCTGCACTTGGGAGAAGAGATTTTTTAAAAGATGCTACAAGCCTATGCTATAGAAGTAGATATGCAAATATTTAAGGAAAGATGTAATGTGTCTGGTTACTTCTAAATCACAAGCATATGTACTCCAAAGCCTATTGTTAGAATGGGTTAACTGGGGGAAAACATTCAAACTGATGAGTGGTCTGTTCAATTTTTGAGAGAGACTCGGTGAGAATAGTAATGGGACGGTTGGACGCTTTCTCCTGTTGGCCACTTCTGGAGGCCTCAGAGATTGGGCTCACCCTCCTTTCCGTGGTAACCCCTGCTGCCCCCTCGGCCTGGGGGTGTCTCTTCCTCCCACACGCTCCCCTGAAGAATGGAACACAGACTCTCCAGCCTTCCCCACTGCCCCCCTTCCTTACCATCTCCAAAACATGCACCTGCTTACTTCTTTTTAGTTATGACTCAAGGAATTTTTCAATGGGACACTGAAAGGAAAACAGGATTAACAAAAAGAACAAGAAATGAGGAAATTAAATATTACGGGAAATCTTATATTTACAGCTATATCAAAGCAATTTCCCTAGGAAATTTTATGATATATTACTGGCTTTCTTACTTTCCCAGCACTCTTGGGAATATTTTAAATACATGACAAGAGCTCTTACCATAGAGATATATTATGTTTAATATATTTAAATACCACACTGTGCATATCTCAAGTATTATGTGCTTGGCCTACACATGGAAACTAATTTTTAAGTGGCCTTACCCACAACCAAGGACCCTCTGCCCTTCCCTAGGTGGGAATGTGAGAGACAGACATTCCCTGCTTCTCCCTCTAGGCCACAAGCTTTTGACCCTGGAACTGCATAGACAGTCCTTACCTTTCACCAGAGTGTAAGGGATGCTAACCACACTTGGTGATCATTGGTTCTCAAATTAGAATGTGCATGGCAGACAGTTAAGGCACACAGTAAGAATTCAGATTCTTGGTCACCTATCCTACAAATGGATTCATCAGGTCTGGGAGAGGCTCAAGAACCTGAATCTGCATTTGTGCCAATCCCTAACTCCTGGGTGATTCTAAGGACCACTCTTGAATGCTAGATCCTACCTGGAGAAGCAGGGTGCCCTGTCCTATCTGCACTGGACACTTGGGAACACAGCTGCTGTCCTGTGAGGCATGAATTCGTCTCTGGGTCCCTCCCTGGGGCCCCATTTATTCTGTAACTACCTGAGTTCTCTGGGGTCAAGCTTTAAGAATTCTTCCCTGAGTATAATATCTGAAGTGTCCTCTCCATGGGCAGTAGGACATCCTGTATTAATTGAGAACAATTATTAAGCTCCTTTACTTATCCTGGAAGGTCTCTATTGTTTCAATAAGTTGTTTAATTTGCCAGCCACATTGGCTCATAATTTCAGGTTATGGGACTCAGTTTCTTCTTAATCTGTTTATCTAGTGGTTCTCAAACTTATATGGGGACAAGAATTACTGCAGAGCTTATTAAACAAAGGATGCCAAGCTCACCCCAGGCTTACGCAGCCAAAATCCCTGGTGTCTGCACCAGAGATTTTAGGATTCTGTGTTTGACAAACCCTACTGAGGGTTCAGATACCAAACATTGAGAATCATTGCATAACCCAGTTCTCAAATGTCAGATGTATCAGGCTCACCAAGGGGACTTGTTTAACAACATCGCTGGGCCCTACCTCTCAAGTATCTGGTCTGGCAGATTTGGTTGGGGTCTGAGGGTTGACATTTCTATCAAGTTCCCAAGTGACACTGTTGTTCATGGACCAGGGCCTGCATGTAGAGAACCACTGACTGAGCTAATATCTGGGCCCAGGTTACACTTACAGCCATGTGTCACCATCAAACCAAACATGTGGTGGACTTAAAACAGCTTCTTATCAAAACAAACACTTCTACTGAGGCCCACTAAATTCCAGCTTTTAGCCTGGGAGGGCCTTTTGTTCTCAGATCATTGGCAGTGTAGCAGAAGTGGATGAAGGATGCCATCTCCCCAGGTTCCCTGTGGTCTCTCCCCGTAACTCACTGGAGAGTGGCCCTGACACTCTAAAATGACCTTGGCCTTAACAACAGTGGACCCAAGTGGAGTGCTGTTCCTCCCTCTTCACTAATTATATCACATTGTCTAGTTCAGGCTTAGCATATCGGGCAGTTCTTACTCCTGCTTTTTGATCATGCACAGACAGTTCCCCAAGACTGAATATGAACCCTTCTCAAATTTTATTTCCCCCTACCTCAACGGAACTCCTAAAGGACTATTTGGTAATGTCGGTTTTCCCGGCTGTTTCTGGAAAGATGAAGAAGAGAATGTATCAAACACTGCACAGCAGAACTTCATCAAAATCTCCACCTTGGTTGTCTTCTTCTCTGCTGCCCTCCCTGCTTCCCATCAGCTTTTCTCTTGATCTCTTTCCTCCTCTGATTATGTAGAATAATTTAGATGTCCTCCCCCTTCCAGTTTGCATCCACCCACCTGAATCAGTTTAACACCTCCATCTTCCTTCAGCAACTAAGAGGTCTTCTTTGGGATCTCCTCATTAGAAATTAGGAGTGGATTGTAAAAATATGTCCCTTCCCATCCCCACTCCACCTTGACGCCAACTTCAACCGTGGGAGCAAAGAGGTTCTCTTTAGGGGAGAACATCTGCCTGTGGGGAGAATGTGATCCACCCTTCTGAGATCCCCTTCCTTCTCCATACAAAGTGAGACAGGCACAGCTGGGAGATAGAAAGTTCCCTTCACTGCAGGGCTTATGAGGTTGACATGCATCTAGAGCCTTCCTGTGGGAGAATGCACTTGACCATGCAGTATGGATACCTGGAGCCTTTGGATCAGGGCAGGGGAGTGAGAGAGAAAGAGAACTGGGGAGGGGGAGGGTT